GGTCCCTGTGCAGCCCGAGCCCCCCGCTGCCCCCCAAGCTGCCCGTGTCACGTGTGGGGAGGGAACGGCGAGCAGCGCCCAAATCCCAGGGGTTTGTCCCCAAAAAGGACCTCATGGAGCCCCGCGGTCGCTGCGCGGGGCGGGGGGGGCGGGTGGCCAAGGGAGCGGGGCAGAATTCCCTGCATCTCCGCCCATCCCTTCCCCGACTCCCTCTCCCAAACCCGCCCCCCAAGCCGCAATTCCCCCCCAAATCCCGCCTGGGGCCCGCGCCGGGAAGCAGCCCCCCAATTCCCGGCCCGCGGAGGCGCCAAGGACCAAGGAGACGGCCGGGGACGGATGCGGGTTTCGTTTAATAGAAAACAGTGTTATTAACCCCAAAAAAAAGAAGGGGGAGGGGGGACAACAAAAAACGAAAGAGGAAGAAGAAGAAACAACCCAAAAGACGAATGTCAGCGACTACCCCCCCGCCCCGTAGTGTTAATGCAGCGAGTTTCCCGTCGTGATTCGGATTCGGTGCCCGGATCCCGTCCCGCGCGGCCCTCGGCTCCCTGATAGATTTATTGCACTTAAGAACCAACAAAATCCAAGGAAAAGGGGGGGAAAAAAGAGAGGAAAATTGTATATATAGAGAGGGTGAAGTCCGGGGTCCCTCCCTGAGAAAGCCGAGCGGCTGCTCCGAGGTTTCTCCGGCGCCGGGCGGAAAAGCTCCTCGGAAGCTTTGGGAAAACGGCTCCAACTGGGGCTTTTCCTCCTCTTTTCTCCCGCTCCCGCCGGCCGCGGCGGCTGCACGAGAGCTCCGCACATCCCAGGGCTAAGCCCCCGGGCTGCTCCGGCGGCGTTCCCGGAGGAGAGGGCGGAGGGCAGGAACGGGAGCTGCTCCCGGCGGGATGCGGCTGCTCCCGCCGGCTTCCCGGCGCCTTGGGCCCCAAGACGGGGTAAAAACCCGAGGATTTTGCAGCGCCGGCTCGGCGGGGATCCCGCTTGGCCACGCAGGGATGGAGCATGCGGGAACGCCACCAGCATCCGCATCCGAGCCGCGCTGGCCGGGGAAGCCTCTTCCATCGGTGCTCGTTTTCCTGATTTTTCCTCTTTTTTTGGGTCAGGCTTTTGCAAAGGGAGAGCGCGAGCGCAGAGAAAGGCGCAGCTTAGGCTCAAAGGAAGGAATTCTACAGTCCCTGAAGTCCAATCCCCACCCGGGAACGGTGCAGCTCATGATAAATAGATACCGAGGAGAGGAAAACACAAAAAGAACCAAAAAAAAGGGACTTTTTAAAATAAATAACCATTGCGGCTGCAAGCGCAGCCCGTCCTGGGGGGCTCTCCCGAGCCGCCCTCTCTCCGGCGGGGAATCGCGTGCAGCCCTAACGGGGCGGTTTTGTCCCCGAAACGCCGCTCGCTTCGTAGTGTGAGCGGCCCCCCCGGAGCCCGGGATCGTCTCCGTACGGATGCGGCGGGAGCGAGCGCCCGTTCCGGAGAAAGAGAGGAAAAGCAAACGCGGGATCGGAGCGGCTAGTGTCTAGAGAACGGGAGCAACGGCTCCGGGAAAGGGAGGGAAGTCTCCGCGTGGGTCCCATCGCTCCGGTCTCCTTCCCTTCCTCCGTGGCGCTGGGAATCGCGGAGGCCTCTCCAGCGGGGAAGCGTTTCGGGCAGGAAACTGCTCGGGAAGCGTTTCGGGCAGGAAAGTGCTCTGGAAAACACGGGCAGGGCTTTGGCGGGCGCGAGGATCCCCCCCTGCGGACGGCGCGGGGGGAAGCGGCTCCGGAGCGCCTCGTGCACTGCGGTCGCTCCCGTCACACCCGCGGCAGCTCCCGGGGATTCGGTTTTCCCGGGATGGAGGGTGTCGGCCCTCACCTGCGCTCACAGCGGCTCCTGCGCCGCGTCCTGGCTCGCTTCCAGCAGCAATTCCTCCAGTTCCTTCTCGTTCTTGGAGCAGTTCAGCTCTGAAAGCAGAAGGGAAAGGCGGCGGGTCAGCTTGGCACGCAAAACCCTCCGAAATGAGCCCAAAAAGAGGGGCGCTTGGAGCGGGGCGCTCACCGTGCTCCACGGCGCAGCTCCCGGCCTTCCCGGCGCCGGCGGCGGCCGGCAGCGCTCGGGCGAAATCCGTCTTGAGGCCGTTGGGCAGCGGCGCGGCGCGGAGCGGCTCCTCGCAGGGCGCCGCACCCATGGGTGCTGCCGCGGGCAGGGTCCCGCGCGAGTCCCGGGGGGGCTCCGGCGGCGCCTCCACGCGCGTCACCACGAAGACCTTGTGGCCGCGGCCGGGGCTCGACACGGAGATCCTCCTCTCGGCGCCCGCGGCTCCCTCGGGATGCGGCGGCGGCGCCTCCGGAGCGGCGCGCGCGGGC